GTGTGTGTGTGTGTGTTATCAGGGGCAGGTTCACTTTTGTTTGGATCTGACAACGATGTGTGTATGTGTGTGTGAGGGAAGGTTTTGTTGGACTTAGGGGAACAATTTGTCTTGTTACAACCAGAGTAACGATGCTGAAAAGTGTGGAAAACTGGACGTTGGACTTCCTTTTCACTGGCTTCGGTTGCTGGTATTTGTAGTTTTTTTTAACTGAGCTGATGGGGGAGGAGGCTGCTTCACTGAGTTTCAGTTTGTAAGTACTGAGCTGCGTTCAGCTCCAACAGGTGCTCTGGATGTTCAACCTGTACTGATTTGACTGTATAAATGTAGATTAAGAGCTAGATTGCTTTTTTTGTTTTTAAACTATGACCTTCTTGTTCATCTTTCCTTCTCTCCTCACTACTACTAATTCTCTTTTTTCATTCATTCTGTTCGTCTATCATCACATCCCCTCAACTGTTCTTATCTCCTCCGTTGTCTCACACCTTCCTTTACTTTCCTCGTCACAATCACTTCTCTTTTCTTTCTACATGTTTCCTCCTCCCTTCTCCTGCTTCCACCATTTTTCCTCAAACCTTCTCAAACCCCTTCCTTCTCAGAGCAGAATTCGCAAAACTAAATGCTAAAAAGGTTTTATAACATTTCGCACATTTTACATTTGAGTTGTTTTTGGAGTAATAGCTTAGGAGCATATTATTTATTGCCATGAAGTTAAGAAATCTGCAACTATGCCTCACACAAACAAAAAGCAGAGTAAAGAACTGCCAAAGCATGGCTCAAATAGTCACCGCAGAGTGATGACATCATTACAAGTACCCCGAACTCAGTCATCAGGGGCTGAGTCTCAGTTCAGAGGCTGCATCCTTTGCAGTGCGCACTTGTCGGCCGGTTACGTCACTGCACCGCGCCGAAGGCTGACCCATTTCTTGAACTGCTTCTGAGTATTTTTCACAGCTGACAATGTGCTAAGATTTTTTGCACTGTCAGCAAACTAAACAAGACCTGGCACATGATTGTCACCACCAGCTTTCTACATATAGAGACTTAAGCTTTTGCCCATTTTTCTTTGCAAAATAGCTGAAGCTGAAGCAGATGGAGGGCATCTGTGAACAGCAGGTTTCAAGTCTTGCCACAGATTTCAAGTTGGATTTAGGTTTGAATTAAATGTAATGTTTTTTATGATATATAAAGCACTTAGAACTGCCTTGTTGCTGAAATGTGCTATAAACTTGACTTGGACCATGACTGAGCCATTCTGACACATTTGATCTGACCCATTTCATTGTAGATCTGGATGTATATTTTGGGTGGTTGTCCTTACAGGATTGTTTTGAATTTAGGATTTATTACGAAACATTCAGATATTAAAAAGCTCCTATCCACTTGAAGCAGATGAACCAGTGTCGTGTTAACATGAATAATTAGAGACAGTTTTAAAATCTGATCTAAATTTGATTTTTAAACTCTTTGTTACCGTCAGCCTGTCCCAAAGACATAGTTTGTTGCCATTTCTTTATTTGATTCTATAAAGTTTACCACACTTTGACCAACAGATAATAGAGTTTCAGCTCCAACAAGCTCATTCCCAAAGAACTGTTAGCTGAAAACTGGACCTTCAGTAAAAAAAAAAAAAAGTAAAAAAGAAGAAAAAAAGGAAAACGAAGAAAAAAATTGTATAGGTCTTCTGGATGGGTTCTTTAATGAAACGTTTCGTCTCTCCTCCAAGAGACTTCTTCAGTCTGAGAGTTTCAGGCAAAATTCAGGCTTTTAAGCCCTGCCTCCATGTGACTGATACTCACATCACATGGCTATCGTTGACACCTAATTAACACTTATTGTTAACAGGGGGTGGAGTGATACTGGCAATGGCCGCACTGTAGGAGGGGGACAACTGAAAACGGAGGCCTCCACCTCTGTTTAATGATGGACGGTCTTTCTTCACAAAAATGGCTTCTTTTACTCCTCTCTCAAACCAACGTTCCTCTCTATCAAGAATGAGAACATCCTCATCTCTGAAAGAGTGACCGCTGGCCTGTAAATGAGTGAAAACTGCAGAGTTCTGGCCATTAGATGTAGCTCGTCTGTGTTGGGACATTCTTTTGAACAGTGGTTGCTTTGTTTCCTCGATGTATAACTGGTCGCAGTCCTCCTGGCACTTAACAGCATATACAACATTGCTCTGTTTGTGCCGGGGCACCGGATCTTTGGGGTGAACCAGCCTTTGCCGTAATGTGTTTTGGGGTTTGAAAGCCACTGGGACATCATGTTTAGAAAATGAACGTCTCAGTTTCTCCAAAACACCCGCAATATACGGAATAACCACTGGTTTGGGTCTGGGTCTGTGGACCTACAGTAGAAAATCTACTGGTTGGCGTTGCGTCTTAAAGAATAACACAGCAGTGACTTTTAGAAAAATATCAGAAAATGTATTTAGTGGTCGATGGAGAACCCAAATGGAAAATACAAGAGGCAGAAGAGAAGGTGAACAAAATTTTACATTTTAATGAAACAACAGTTTAATCACCTGGCAGCAACGAGAGTCGATTCAAACACAATTTAGACTGAGCTGAGGAAACCAGTTTGGTAAACAGACGGACTGAAACACACCCAGACCCAGATTACGCAGGAACAATCTCGGGAAACATAATGTTTTTTTCCTATGTTACGAATAAATAAAAAAACATCTTAGTTTACGTGGATATTGCTGTGTTTGTTGAACGGTAGTTTTCATGACCCAAGCTAACATTTGTGCGTGAATGAAGGTGTTCTTTTTGGCAGGGAGGAGGTTATGACGTACGGTGTGTGTTGTGATTGGTAAACATGTGCACAGAAAAAAAAAGGTTCCCGTAATTACCGTATATCTGAAAAACACTGATACCGGCCTCTCAACAAGTCATGCATGTATCAAGCATGGGGAATGGACAGAGTTCGTTTGGACTGAGGATATTGTTGGTTTGCTCCTACATGCTGGAACAGAGTGAGCAGCACAAACAGCACTCTGCTCTCTGCCATTAAGGACTTGATTCCATGGCGTGTTTTTTGAGTGAAACTCGAGCTTTTCTGCTGCGGTTCAGATGTTTGTGTTCACGAAAACGGCCCTTAATCTCGCTGAAACTGAATGTTTCTGAATCCTGCAAAGCAGGGAAATACTCTGTCGGTGTGAAGTCTTACAGTATATGCGCACTACAGGCGGTTGCAGTCAAAAGTTTTGCTGCACCAACAACAGAATGACGACGCAGGTAGAAAAAACACGGATCAGTTAGCAGGGGAAGTGCTGCAGGAACAAAAAATAAGACTTTCTAAATAAAACAAAAAGACAATGAATAGTTAGAAAATAGAATTAGAACCACAATCCTAAAACTAATTCAACTGGATTGAAGATTGAAATGGAATAGACATAAAATATATAGCTTTTTTGAGTAAAATGTTTTATTTAACCAGAAATTACTTTAGAAATTATATATTATTTAAATGTTTACGGTCAGTACATATTTACAATCTAAGTGGAAAATTTTCCATTGATCAAATGAACTTAGACTTGATTTAGTTGGAGTTTAATTAAATTACTTGAATTGAACTAATTTGCTTTTAATGTATTTTGCTATAAATTCAATTCAATTCAATTCAGTTTTATTTATACAAACGCCAAGTCACAACATACGTTGTCTCAGGGCACTGTACATAAAAAGAACAATCTAAAGAAGAAACCAGCAGATTGTGTTGAATCACTTCATCACAGTCTCCCATCCTGAGCAAACGGTGGAGAGGAAAAACTCCCTGCTAATCAGGAAGAAACCTCCAGCAGAACCAGGCTCAGGACAGGCGGCCATCTGCCTCGACCGGCTGGTTGGAGGACAGGAAAGAGACACAGACAAACACAGAAGAACTGGTCCAGGACTGGTCCAGGCACACCTTCTTCTGGAGGAGACAAAGAAAAACATGTCATTGATAGAAATAATTACAATAAACATGTAGAGAAGAGAGACTAAAGACAACAGCAGAGTGAGGAAATGTGCTCAGTTTGTGCTCCAGCAGTCTAAGTCTATAGCAGCAGAAATGAAGAATAATTCAGGAAACCTAAGTCTAACTATAGGATTTATCAAAACGGAAAGTCTTCAGTCTAATCTTAAAAGTAGACAGAGTGTCAGCCACAGATTCAAGCTGAATTAAATTAACCTGAGGCTTCTTTTAAAGTGCAGAACTTTAAAAGTTTGTGTTAAAAATACTGATGCAAAATTAACTTGTTGATTTTAAAGTTATTTAATATTAAATTAGACATCGCCTCTTCGGGTCCAATTTAGTGTTGGGGTTAAATACATTAGGTGGGATTCAGATTATTCACATTTGTTCTCTGAGTTTGGGACTTTCACTTAAAAAACATCTTATGTCCTCCTTTCCTCCCAGAGGAATCCAGCAGCAGTTGACCAGCTACAGAGAGACGGTGATCCGGCAGGCCACGGCAGCTGCGGGCTCGGCCATCCATCGGGACGATGCGCCCACCTGTGGAATCTGCCACAAGACCAAGTTTGCAGACGGCTGTGGGAGCCTGTGTTCGTACTGCCAGACCAAGTTCTGCGCTCGCTGTGGGGGGAGGGTGTCCCTGAGGTCCAACACGGTAAGAAAAACATTTCGTTTAGTTTGATCTATACCCTGTAAACAACTCTGAGATGTTAATATTTGGGGCAGGACATCCACAGGCTTATATTTTTCTGACTGAATCCAAAAGTGAGTTTAATGAAAAGATGAAGCAGCAAAAAGGACTTAGTGACATCTACTGGTGAAGGTGCAGATAGTGACCCACTGCGCAGACCTTTAGATTAACACTCAGCTCTTAAACAGGAAGGAAAATATTTTTATTTAAAAATAATGTGAAGTTTTCACATTATTAACTTATTAAACTTATTAAACTTGTCAGTTGAAATACACAATATGTTGCATTTTCTACCAATAAATTCTTTGTCACACATTGTTGTGAATAAAAAATCCCCTACAAACTAAATTTAGATATGGATGAAATTATTCGAGAAAGAAAATGTAACCGTCTGGCTGACAAGAACAACTGAAATGCTTTATTTGAAACTTCTGAGATTCTGTGTGAATATATGACATATTTTATCACAAGTGAATGAATAAACACAATAGAGAGTGAGGAGTAGAGAAACACAGCTCAGCTGATTTCAGACCTTGATCTACACTCGTTCAGAAATATTGCCAACTTATGCTGAATGAAAGCAGAAAAGACACACATTACAGCTTACAATTTGTACACAATAACTCAAAATAAGGGAAAAAATACAGCATAATGTAAAAAATACTCAAAAAAATTAAGTAAAATAAAATGAGGTAAAATTAAACAAATAAAACAAAAAGCAGTGTAAAATAAAATCACAAAAATTGAATAAAATTAGGCAAAGTAATATAAAAAAGATGTAAAGTTAAAACAACAAAATAAAACAAAGCCATCTAAAAGAGGAAAAAAGGTAATATAATAAAATAAGGAAACATAACAGAATGAAAGTAAAATAATAAAAAACGATAAAGTAAATAAAAAAATAATAAAACAAGGTAAAAATAAACTACACAATGGAGTGATGTAAAAGTTAAGTGTTCTGAGTGTGTGAAAAACTCTACTGTAAATACAGGAATTGTGCGCCTTTGTGCATGATTGTGTGTGAGAGTTTGTGTGTATGTGGCCAGCCAGGGCTAGTAAAGGTTAATTGGGCATTAGACTGAGCTTTGGACCGAGGGGGTGGTCTACCACTCTGTCTCGGTCTCCCAGGGGTCCGGAGGTGCCCTATACACTCGCAGCAGGGTGTGTGTGTGTGTGTGTGTGTGTGTGTGTGTGTGTGTGTGTGTGTGTGTGTGTGTGTGTGTGTGTGTGTGTGTGTGTGTGTGTGTGTGTGTGTGTGTGTGTGTGTGTGAATTTTACAGGAGGGGTGGGCTGAGTCTTCCTCTTAAATAAGAGAACCCCACTTCCTCCTCCTTACATTACCGATGTGGCATTTAATGACCCCACACACCCACAAACACACACTTTAAAGTACATCCTAATTAGTAAGAGGATGAAGAGTTCAGCTGGAGGCAGTGTGTGTGTGTGTGTGTGTGTGTGTGTGTGTGTGTGTGTGTGTGTGTGTGTGTGTTGCTTTTAGTTACAGAAGGTCTTTGAAAGATAAATTTTAAACATCTAAGCAGAAAAGCTTAAAATAAATTGTGCTTTATTTATTGATACAATGAGATGTTTTATCCATCCATCCATCCATCCATCCATCCATCCATCCATCCATCCATCCATCCATCCATCCATCCATCCATCCATCCATTATCTTCCGCTTTATCCGAAGTCGGTCGTGGGGGCAGCAGCTTGAGAAGGGAAGCCCAGACCTCTCTTTCCTCAGCCACCTCTTCCAGCTCTTATGGGAGGACTGCAAGGCGTTCACAGGCTAGCTGAGAGAGACATAGTCTCTCCACCGTGTCCTGGCTCTTCCCCAGGGGTCTCCTCCCAGTCGGACATGCCTGAAGCACCTCCCTAGGGAGGTATCGAGAAGACATCCTAACCAAAAACCACCTCAGCTGGCTCTGCTCGATGTGGAGGAGCAGCGGCTCTACTCTGAGTCTCTCCTGAATAACGGAACTTCTTACCCTATCTCTAAGGGAGAGTCCAGCTACCCTGTGGAAAAAACTCATTTTGACCGCTTGTATCTGCAATCTTGTACTTTCAGTCACTACCCAAAGTTCATGGCCATAGGTGAGATAGCACTTTGAGTGTTCTGGATGGATAGAAAAGCGCTATATAAGTACAGTCCATTTACCATTACCATTTAGGAACGTAGACTGACCTGTACAGAGAGCTTTGCCTTACAGCTCAGTTCAGTCTTCACCACAACAACTGCTTTCAGCACTCAGACTTTAGCCTTGAGCGAGCTGGACTCGGTCTGAAAGAGGTTCTGCAGAGGGTCGCAGGCCGACTGTCGTTCCTGGACTTTGAAGGTGAGATGGAATTGATCTTGGAGAAGCTGAGAGCTCGGCTCTTTGGAATTGCCCACACTATTTGTCTAACTGGATTCGCCATCCTGAGATGTACCAGCGGACATTAAGGCAGATGGAAAATTATTGTCTGCCTGACCGAAAACATTTTCTTCTGTTCCCAAACAACTGATTACGAATTGGCTCTCCCCCACATGGCCTTGAGAGCTGTGGATCTAATTTCTCCTGGTGTTTACATCGACTTGGCTTAGTCCCCACCCTCCCCATCTCACTTTCATCTGATCTGATCCCCTGAAAGTCAATCTGGAGCTGCATAGAATGAACAATTAACACCAGTATTCTGAACTATGACTGAACTATGCTTTTTTTTTCTTTTTCTGGGGGCTAGATTCTTCAGACTCATTCTTCAGATGTTCACACAAGTGCATACAACATTCATGGCTTCAGATACACGCCCTCTAAACTCACTACTCCTCTGGCTAATAAATTCTTGCTCTGCAGAGTTTTTTCCCTATAAACACCATTGTGTATCAAATTTCGTTGATATAATATGATGTTTAATTTTTTCCTCATCTACTCTTGTGTGGTATTTTCATTTTTCTTTTCAAAGGTAGCGCAACCCCTGCTGGTTGCTGCATGACCTGGTCACCTGTTCCCCATGTTTGTCATGTGTGTCTCCTGAATGGATGTTCTTAAATGTAATTTCATTGGGCTCTGTACAATGTCAATAAAGGCATCATCAAATCAACAGACCAGTACAGAGTCCACATTACTGCAGAAACTGCACCGACCCATCTATCAATCTCACGCTCCATTCTTCCCTCACTCGTGTACAAGACCCCAAGATACTTGAACTCCTTCACTTGAGGCAGAACTTGAGGCCAATGAACCGGACTCTCTCTGCCCCCTGGCTGCACCGAGAAATTCTGTCCATGTAAGTTATGAACATAACCGGTGACAACGGGCAGCCCTGGAGGAGTCCAACTCCCACTCTGAGGGGGTCCGACTTACTACTGGCAATGCGACCCAAACTCTCTGTGTGGAGGAGTACAAACATATTCTGACAGTTAACGTGCAGATCATCTTTTGTAGAGTTTGATTTGTAATCCTTTCAAGATGAAATACAATGACAGAAACAAACACCAAAACACAACGAGTTCACATTGAATTCAGTTTTTGACAGTGGAAGAAAACAACAAAAAAAATGTCTTGTTTCGCATGGAGCTACAACCCTAAATCATCATGGTTGTTAGTTTTTCATTAACATGTACCAATTACAGTACAACAGCCATGTCATTACTTTTTCAAAATGTGTCCCGTTTTTACCAGACTTTGAATATTTGAAAATCATTGCCCATTCATAACATTAACAACAAATAAGATAACTTTTACACAGAACCCCACTTTACAGTGCACGAACTGTCCTTTTTAAATTTTCCATTTTTAATAAAAATTTAACTTCAAAACTTAACAGTTGTCTTAATCAGAAATTCTCCACCTTTAGAATCTGTTAGTTCATTATTGGTGAAAATCAACAAATAGATTTAGTAACACAAACTGAATTTTTTTTCTTTCTACAGATTTGTGCATATGGTTTTATTTTTTAAGTCATGGACAACACACACACATAATTTATTCAGTGTTTACTTTCTGTTCAGTTAATTCTAAATTTGAACTGTTTCACTAAACTTCAAATGTGTTTGTATCACTTTTGACACAAGGATGCAAGATTTTGTGATATTTGACTCAGCCGATTTTGTTTTTGAGTCTGATACAGAGTACAACTCAGGCTGGTATCGGTGATAGTGATCTGATACTGATTCTTTGTGCAAAAACGTGTCTGGTAAACTAAAAAAGGTAGTGCATTTAAATCACAGCTTCATAAAGAATATAACAATGTATTTATTCATTTTAAATTCAGGATTATATGGATGTAATGGTCTCATATAACTGAGCTAATACAACAGAAAAAAACAAACAGGACACATTCATACAAAATGCATGAAAATGGTGTTTTGAACAAACAAACAAGCAAGCAAACAAACAAACAAACAAAACTATAAAGTAACTGATTGTTTAATTTTCAAAAACTACTAAAAACTTAATTTACGTTACATGAACATGTTAACATGACAATACTGAACACGTAACATCTACAGACTGAGCAGGTGCCGCTGTGCTTATGCATTACATACTGTATGTGGAAAAAAATGTAGTTCCCACCAATTGCGTATGATTTAGACAAGATTTCAATAGTTTAGTTACTTTCCACTGTGCTCCTGTTAATTATATACATTAAGTGAAATGACTGAAGCATCAAAATATTAATATTTTTGTTTTAGAATCAATTTTAGAGCACAAAGATTTGTGGTATTCATATTTCATCATTGATCTGCACAGTAAGATTATTTCACTGTTTCAGATCTTGTTGGTTTACATTCTGTCTTTTTCCTTTTTTATGTCTGTCAAAATGGACTGCAGGAGGACAAAGTGGTGAGTTCTGTTTTTCCCATGACTGAATATCTGTGTCTGCTATTTTGGAGATTACCATAACATGGAATTTATGTTCATATAGACCAACTTTTTTTTGTTATGTGTGGGAAAAAAAGATAGATTATATACAGAAATTACTACACTGTGTAGATAACTTCAGAATTTCATATTATTCACATGTAAAAAAACAAGTGAACCAGTTCATGATAAACCTGCCATCCAACAACAGATGTTTATTGTAATGTCATGATTTGAGTGCTTTTGTACGGAGCTCGTCTGGTGATATTAGTTTAAAAAATGAATGCCCTTGTGTTATTGCCTACAATATAAATATTATTTTCATGTCTTGATTATTAATATAGAAAAATTTGAATAATTACATTTTATTTTAATTTAGGAATGAATTACAAAGACATACATCAGTCACTTACGGTTAGGCATGGTGTAATTCTCAGCGAGATTCTCTAAATTTGACTGCTCAAAGGCTGCATTCACACTGCAGGTCTTAATGCTCAACTCAAATTTTTGTCAAAAATCTGATTTTTTTTGTGTGTGGATGTTCACATTATATTTTAAATGCGACCTCCATCAGATTTCAGTATGAATCCCTCACAGCACTGAAGCGACCCGCATGTGACGTCACATTTATCTGGCTGTTTACAGAGGTAGCGGTTGCTACATGTTAGCATATCAGTTCAGCGTTTACATTTTAACACGCTTCTGGTCCGCTACTCCAGTGCATCATTTTATTTTTGCAACAGGAACAACGTGCTAAAACTAAAGTATTGATCCATTAACTTTAATATCGATGTGGTCCGAGACCAACATTATTATCATACGTTTGTCTGGATTGTCAGTCATCCAGGACATGGAAAATTAACAGAAAAAAGACAAAGCAACTGGACTTATGTTTTGTAGCCAAAGGCATGTGGAACTACAATATTTAAACAGCCTCATTATTATTACTGGATTGATCTGCTCACCTCACTGATGAAAAAAGTCAGGTGAAATGAGACATGAGCGTTCAGAGTGTAGTCACTTTGAAAAACATCAGATATGTAATCTGATTCAGTAGCACATATTAAAGTGCTCGACACACGGGCAGCGACAAACTACAGCGATTAACGGCTGTCATCGCAGCCAGGGTGAAACCCGACACACGGGACGCGATAGCAACAGCAACGTTGCGAATTGCGCTCTCAGGTCGCTTGTCTTCAAGAAATTTGATTGGTTCTTGACTCTGAAGGCGGGTGTGCATTACAGACGTGTAAACTAAACAAATCTTGCGATGCTAATGATATTGAAAAACAAACACACATCAAGATACAGTTTTATGAGGAAAAACTTACCATAAACTTCACCCTGATGTCAATAAATTGCCTATTTTATTATTTTATTGCCTTTTTTAGTAATCACTTGGTGAAAGTGTTAGCTAACTGCAGTGTGTAGCAT